TCGGAGCCATGCGTGCCTTGCCCAACCAGCATTGCCTTGTGGGGTTTCGGTATGGGGTTTGATCCTTGTGCACCTGGAGACTATAAAGTGGTGAGATGTCGCACGTTGGAGTATTTTCATTCCGATAACGAGGCCTACGCGGAGGTGTTTTCGCTTGAAATTGGAATCAAATCCCGTATCCCCATGATCTTGTGTGGAAAGTCTATCAGCACCCGTCGCTTTTCATCAATGACTTTTATTATTGGACGGCACAGCATTCCACCACAGAGGATGTTGCTATTATTTCGTTCCACTTTGCTAAGGAGGAGTTTCCCCCTGCTCTCATCCCTATGCCCGGTAGCATAGTTGTCAGAGACGTCACGATTTGCTGTGTTTCTCTTGCTGAGTATCATGGGCATCTTGCTGCTATTGTTTTTTATTATGGCGGACAGTATGATGAAGGAATGAATATTGGTTATCAAATGAGGAAAAACAAGAAGAAGAAGAAGAAGAAGAAGAAGAAGAAGAAGAAGAAGAAGAAGAAGAAGAAGAAGAAGAAGAAGAAGAAGAGTGACTTTTTTACTTTTGAGATTTGGGTATGGATGCACCGCTGCTGGTCCCTTGTATCCACTTACGAAGTCCCTCCTACTCCTACTCGTGTTGTTTTTATGAGGGTCATCGGCCTCTACAAGAAAGTGTTTCTTCTTCAGGACTGGCAGGGTTACCTATGGCTTTACGATCGTGAGATGCTCAAGCTGGAGAACCTCGACATTCGTGACAATAGTTTGACTCTGACGGTCTTCCCTTATGTTTGAGAGCGATCCATCTACATGTTGACGTAAGTGAGGTCTAGTAAACGTGGTTTTGTGGCTAGCAGCACAACACATTAGGAAAGTGTGGTCTCTTGTAATCTTATTCATGTCCTATTTTATTGCAACCAATGCTTGGTGTGGAGAATTTGTCTTGTATTATTAATTATCTCATCTTATTTTCTACAACTGAAAACTCGCTCGATATTGCTTGATGGACTCACGTTCCGTTCAGTCCGTTTAATACAAGAAGCGGATGTTTATGATGACACATTATTTTAACTTCACACTAGTAAACAACGCTCATCAACATCCACACAATAGTAGTTGCACATTGGTAAACAACATATGCCTGACACATGATGAAACATAGCTTTAGTGCGTAGTATCATTTTTCGTCACAGGATGTTTGTTTCTGTTGATAACAACTAGTTAGTTAGCTGATAACAAATTGAGGATCTCTGTGCATATTTATGGGCCTGTGTTTTAGCATTGTGCACTACTACTTGCCATCCAAGACTCAACTTGTTGTCTGTTTGTGCCTAACCATTATTTTTATCATATTTATTTGCAAATATAATAAATGACAAGAAAACATAAGGACGAAACACAAACACAAACACAACAATATGATTTTCTTCAAGAAAGAAAAATGTGGGGAAAGCAGAAATAGAACTCTGCACATATTTTTAATAACTCGCATATAAAATATGAAGTATACTCGTAAAACATAAAAGAAGACTCCATACTATTGGTAAAACAGATTGGTAACCAACTAAAGCACTAGCAACGCAAACTATACTCGTCAATTCTCAACGGTCTCAACATAATTTCATAAATAATATTCAGTTTTGCAACATGTCCCTCAAAGACATGTGAACCTCATCGTTCATCATCGCATTGTAAGCACGTGTAGTTGCTACGTACAAACTCATCATCTCACAAAGGGGCGATATGCCCGCCTCAGGATCAGAAATCAATCGTGTTATATAACAAGTTTTACCAATCCTCATTGGATGTATGCCTCTCAACTCTGCCACCTTTCCCAAATGCACTATTAAGACAGAAAGACACATTTCAGTTATTATTTTTTTTTCTTTTTTTTTTCATAACACGTAGAATTGACAACTCAGACCCAGCCACGTAGTCTTATTTATTTCCACAGCTTGACTGAGCTATCGTGGCTGGCTGAGGCAACCATCCCAGACAGAGGTGACTGTGCCAAGGCCGCAACTATATTCTCATGTGCTGCGACTGTCATGCTTTTGTTCTCAACCATGTTCCACAGCTCTAGAGACTGCACATTGTTCAACTTGGAAAAAAAAAAGAGAAAGAAAGAAAGAAAAAAAACAAATGTTACTTTAAACAACCAGGGTTACATTTGATTGAGATACTGCTATTTTGACGAGAAAGAATATGGCAGAATTATTATATCTTTGGCCTTTGACTCACATTCCCATTTTTTCAACTACTTGTGAGTAAACAAAAACCTTAATGGGATATATGTAGGAGATTTTTGTAAAAAAATGCCCCTTCTTGGATCCTCTTTTAGAAATTACCCTCTTTGGTCCGAGTAACAGTCTTCTTTGTCGCTTTTCTGGTTGAAATAAATTAGGAGTGCAAAAAAAGGGGTATATTTGCAAATTCTCCTTAATACTTCAAAAGGGTGTTTGTAATCACTAATTTTCGAAGGTAAGATTATTCGGTAAGTTGCCTAAATCCAATGGTACTCCTCCTTTCTTTGTTTACTGTTCTTTCTTTTTTTAACTGAAAACAAGAGTGAGTTATGCTTATTATTGGGGTGTTAGATACATGGGTGAGGAATAGGATAAGTGATTACCTGTAAGCCTCCAATCACCAAAAGAGAAGAATAACTCGGATGAAAAACACAGGAATGGAATTGGTTGCCACTGGCATTAAGCTCATGGATGCCCTCTCCCGAGGCCAACGACCAAACTTTAATACTGTCCTCACTCACAGAGGCCAAAAGTTCGCCACTAAGGTCCCAGCACAGGTATTTCACAACGCCAGACGGCCAGAGTATCCCTAAAAACAATAGAAACTCATTATAACATGCCATACCAACATCAACTGCAAACAGAATAAGAAGTTAAATTGCACACCTGGAAGGAATGTGTTTGCCGATCGTTCTCAACATCAAATACAGAGACCACCTTGTCAGATGCTGCTGCCAGTAGATGTCCATTTATGGGTTGAAATCTCACTTGTGCACTTCCTACTTGCTACACCATGCAATCGAGATGGTCCTTAGTTTAGAAAAAAGAAAATGTAGAGCAGGAAGGAAGAATGTCCATTTATTGGTTGAAATCTCACTTGTGCACTTCCTCCTTGCTACACCATGCAATCGAGATGGTCCTTAGTTTAGAAAAAGAACATGTAGAGCAGGAATGAAGAGATATATGAAATGATCGAGATCACAGATCCATGTGAGATATCCAACCTTTGAAACCCGAGTGCACAAATGGGCTAATGCTCCAATAAAGAAATTGTTACTATCGCAGAAACAGAAGAGATCATTCTTCTTAGGATGGAATCGAGGGACATCACGTGGGAAGTATGCCCCGTGTAAGCATGCAGACAAAAGCTTGGCTGCATTTCCAATACATTAAGCACCATTTACAGTATTTATGAATTTACTCTAGACAGCGGCAAGGATGAATGTACTAGAATTTACTGCAAACAACAGCAAACAAGTCAAACGAAAATAGGGTGGAGATGGTGCACGTTGAAGATCTAGCCATATTGGCAGTGAACCTATATACTGATCCGCACCTTTCATGGATTTTAATGGATATAGTTTTAATGATCACTTTCAATGAGATGATAAAAGTGTATTACCCATCAAAATATGGTTTAAAAGTAAACCACTTGGCAAAGATAGTTTCAAGTGAAAAAATTGTCTGAAAATTGAAAACTATACCATTCTGAAAAGATACTAAAGATTCAGATTTCATAACCAAGTTCCTTTCAGAGCACCCTCCAAGTTAATCTCTGAGAGCTTTTCCTAAACAGTCAAAAGCGAAAACTTCTGCAGATGGAAAATGGATGTGAAATAATTACATTGGCTGCATCCCATAATCTGACAGATGTGTCAAATGAGGCCGTCGCAAGTTGAGTCGAGCCAGGCCGGAAGCGCACATCAGTAATAGGAACTGATGTTCTTCAGGGGTGGTCTCTGTTTGCAGAGTGTTCATGTTCCACAAAACAGCCTAACCAAATAGGGAGGAAACCAACAATAACACAAATAAATTAATAAGCAAAAATTAATGTAATAATTTCATAAGAGGAGGTTCCATTATTAAATTGCTCATAAACATAAATTAGAAAAAAACCATAAAACTGTGGTCATTAAGTTTAAAACATGACCGACAGTACCTTTTTATCATGCCCAGCACTAGCTAACAGCTTCCCATCGGAAGAGAAATGGCAACAAGTAACCTTATTTCTTGTCCGTATACAACCAACTTCTCCGAATGAGAAACCTGCAACTCAGACATACGTATCCAAAATCAAAATCTTAACTTATGGGCAGGTTCTATTTTAAAGAAGATACAAAATGCATAAGGATGATAGAAAGACCACCTTTAGAAGTCTCTGGTTTATGTTCAGTAAAAGTTTGTTTCAACGAGCCATATAGATTTCCATCACCCCCATCATGTGACAAAAAAGAATCAACATTGTCGAGAGAACCAACATCTCCAAAAGTCTCCAAGTCATCCTGGATAAACAATATATCTTTAGAATTTCAAGGCAACAACACTCATAATTCAGAATATCTAATAGAGGTTCATGCACAAGCCAATGAAAACACGTAAAGTAACACTTTAAGAACCCAATCTTACAAGCTGATTTGTAGATGATGTAATTCCACCAGGTCCTTCTGCACCATACATCATCATACTCTTACTGCTAGCAGTGGCCATCCCATCACCAGGTGTATGCGTTGATTGTGGCGAGCCAGGGGAAGGTCCTACAGTATTTCCTGTACCTGTGCTGTTAGCAGGACCTGATGAAGAGTGTTGTTTTCTTTTCCTGTTGTTCTGTTTAGGTCAAAGGAATGTGTTAATTCTTTGTGGTGAAAGCAGTAGATCAATGGGAGGGATGCTTTCGAGGTGAGCATTTATGAAACAAACGGAAAGCATTGTAGTGATTTGGCTGAACCTCTGTAACTATATAAGATAGAACTCACCTGCTGCAAATGTTGTAGCGGCTGCTGCTGCTGCTGTTGCTGCAACTGATCCTGTTGTTGAGAGGGAGCCTGCTGGATTTGGGCCATTTTCATCTGCTTAACATTACATAAATATTGCAAGCGTCCGAAGTAAGTAAAGAAACGTCTTTGCAAATGTATCATCAAAGATTTATCATGATTCATGAAGCTGAAGCAATTAATTACATCTACACTAGTACAATTACTGATAGTCAAACACTTATTGTGTCACATAAAATGATAGGGGCATCTAAAAAATTGATTTAAATAAATTTGTGTTCCTATCTAATGACAAGCTACGAAGTCCAGGACATGAGAAAATCTCCGAATGCCACCAAGATAATGAAATTCACTATTCTATTTTCAGAGGATTAAAGTACTATCACTCATTTCATCAGATTCTGCCGACGCTGAAAATATAAATATCAGGACTAATCTAGAAAAGTGAAACAGAAAAGGAAAAAAAAATGCAGGACTAGATGTTGAAGGCATATCAAACAAAATGAACAGATAAGGATATTTGCATTGTTAGTAGGGCTGTTATCGAACCGAACTGTTCGCAAACAAAGCTCGTTCGTGTTCGATAACAGCTCGTTCGTTTAGTAATCTATCTGAACTCGAACATGAAATTATGCTCATTTAGTTATCGAACGAGCATGAACAAGTTCGAGAACAAATCAAGCGTTATAAGTATTTTATAATTTTATATATTATATGTAGTATACATATATAATATAATATAAATATGGATATATATATTAAATTAAATATTAATAAAATAACTTGTACGGTATTAAAATTGAAAAAAAGAAGTCAACAAACACGAACACGAACTTGTCGAACAGTTCACGAACCTATTCGAAAATTAGTTCGATAACAACCCTAACTGTTAGGTTAAAGCTAAACTTTGGGATTTTGGCAACACATGCGGAAACATGCATTTTAAACAAGGAGAATCCATACAAAATGTCAGAAACATAATGATGGCACTAATAACCTCTATAGGAGTCAACATTTTCTTCTCACTGATTTTGTCATATTTCTGCTTCTTGGTATCAGCTTTAAGTCCCTGCCAGGCAAGGCTGAAAAATAGATGAAAGAAAAAGATAAGAAGCGTGTAGCAAGAGAAAGGCAAGAGAACACAGAGAGTAAACATCTAAAAATATATGACACACCTTCCTCTCAGAAAATACATTAGGACATAACCAAGAGACTCCAGATCATCCCGTCGGCTTTGTTCTGCCAGGATTAGTGAACAAACATATAAAGGAATTACAATGAAATGCCCATGAGAACTTCTGGTTATATAGATGATTACTCCATGGTGAGTATTGACACTAGCATAGCGAGCAGTTCCAGTGAGATTCTTGTTTTCCCTGTGACAAAATGTTCAACAAGAAATACTAAATATAGAAATTTTCATATACACCACAACTATATTCAGATATTAAACTACTCTATTTTCTAATACATCATCACATAGCATGGAAGCGCCCAGACGGAGTCCCAACAAACTCACAAGATGCATAACATGCAAAGTGAATTTATATCTAGTTTGTCAAATATCTAACCCCACCAAAAGATGACTGACAGTACCTGTATGGAATGTGCTTATGCGTCTGAAGATCTCTATACTTTTAGGCAATACAAAAGTCAATTATGTAAACCTGAATAAATAATGAAGTGTCACCAATACAGCACCGCCATCATAAAGATCTCAATTAGGGCAAGAGGCATTCATAAACCATTAAGCATTTTAAGAGTTGGAACCCTATATATAACACAACTTCAACAGTCACTCAAAGTACAAATAAACTATAAAAATCCTAGAAAAGAAACAGGCTAAATAAAAACCCAGAGAAGAAAAAGTTAAATAAAATATCATGTGGCAGTGACTCAAAATAAAAAATAAAAAAATAAAAATAAAAAATAAAAATAAAAACGATAGAAATGCATGCCTGATTCGCTTTGCGTCCCAAGCCCATCAGAAAACTATCAGGCTTTATACCACGATGAAGAAATCCTCTTGAATGCATGTACTCGACTCTGTTAATCTAAAAGTAAATTACGAACTTAGTCAACACCAATGAAGCTGATCGTTAAAACTGTAGCCCAGGAAAAGTATAAATTTCTTAAGTCACTTACTAGTTGATCGACGAGCATTAACACAGTTTTCAAGCTGAACTTCCTGTTACAATAGTTGAAGAGATCTTCTAGACTAGGACCTAGTAGGTCTATCACCATGACATTATATTCACCCTCAACTCCAAACCACTTCAGGTTGGGAACACCGGCTATATGGTAAGAGAAAGCATCATACGGTTGAATTCATGTGAAATGAAATAATTTCCAATTCATGCTTCCAAAGAGAATATTCTCTACCACCATCAACCAACCCTCACATTTACATGCATTAAAGAATCCAAACTCAGAGAAAAACAAGTGATGATGACAGAAGATGTTTCAATCACTATCAATGCACACATATTCAACTCATCTAAAAAAGGTCAAACAGCCTTCTTAGGAGGACGGGAATAATAGCCATGAAGAGGAGTCATAATATTTGATTTGGCATTGCCTCCATCAACCACAGTCATAATGATAGAGATCAGGAAAGTAAATCATGAGAAGGAAAGCAAGAATGAAATAAATATCTAATGCACAAATGAAGGGATTGACGGAATCATGGGATCCTAATTGGCATGGAAGGCTATCATATTTCTTCTTTATAACTATTACCTTAAATAAATAATATGCCTATAAAAGGGTTGCGAGGAAGTGATGATCGGGTATCGAGAGAAAAATATTGTTTGTCGGCTTTTTAGCTTGGGCGGGATTATTTCCCGAGGAGAACTTCATGTTCTCGGAGAACCTTGTGTTCTTTTTTTCTTTCTTTTTAATTAATAATATTTAGTTTCTGTTACATTGGCCCTTTACTCCTATCAATTGGTCCGACCTGCCACTACGAATGATGCATATTGAATCTCGCATTGAAGCCTTGGAGAAGGGTCAAGCGGTGCTTGAGTGCCGACTCAGTAATGCCGAGGACGCCATCACCAAACTTACAGAGTTGGTCACACGATTTTTATCAACCAAGCACAACAATCTAGCCACCTCCCAAGTGAATCATGTCAACAACTCGTCTAATGTGGATTCCACATCCTCAGTTATTGTGAACCATGTTGAAATTTTAGAACTGGAGAATGGCAGCAAATCCAAATCCACCGTCTCCACTACCTCTGCACCGCTAGTTTTGGTACAATCGGTTTCAGAGCCTCATGAGACTGCCAAGGTGCCAATTCCCCGTTTGGATCTATGCACTCTTAAAGAAGATTTTCTCATTGATGAGCAGTACCCTCACATTTATCACACAGGCAAGGCTATCAAATTCGTGACAAATGTCTTCTCTTTTCCAATGCAAACGGAGGACTGGAAGCATATAATGCTCTATTCCAGTGTGCATGATGAGTCTCGTGGCCCCTATGCAATAATCAATGGTGTTCTTTTTTACAAAGGTCGTCTAGTTTTGCCGTTTACTAGACAAAGTTTTTTTCTTTGCAGCCTTGAGGACAAGGCTGTTTTTTGGCGGCCGACAATGATAGAGATCAGGAAAGTAAATCATGAGAAGGAAAGCAAGAATGGAATAAATATCTAATGCACAAATCAAGGGATTGACGGAATCATGGGATCCTAATTGGCATGGAAGGCTATCATATTTCTTCTTTATAACTATTACATTAAATAAATAATATGCCTATAAAAGGGTTGCGAGGAAGTGATGATCAGGTATCGAGAGAAAAATATTGTTTGTCGGCTTTTTAGCTTGGGCGGGATTATTTCCCGAGGAGAACTTCATGTTCTCGGAGAACCTTGTGTTCTTTTTTTCTTTCTTTTTAATTAATAATATTTAGTTTCTGTTACATTGGCCCTTTACTCCTATCACATAATGCAAATAAGTAACTTTAAATATTAACTAAAATTCTATCTTCAACTGCCACACAGCAACAAAAAGCAA